TTTTTTAACAATTCACCTCTTCAGGTGTTTTTCCTTTAGTTTCCGGTAGATAGAAGAAGCAAAGAAGAACTGTCAGGACACATGGTGGGAAAAACAGCACAAAATAGCTGAGCGGAGGTCCTAGCAAATTCTTAATAGGAAAATATACGACAAGTAGACCCGACCGGCTGAAAATGGTGGGCCTACCGAGATTATTGAAAATATGAGGTTTTCAACACTTACATTCCATTCATGGCTATATTTATCCATGTAAAAGTAGCTGCTCTTGCCCTTTGCCCGACAAGTTCACCTCCAACAAAAAGACACAATGGCCCGGGTCCAGAGGCGAATATCAAGTTGAAAATGCAGCAGCACAATACAACGCACCACCCAATAAATTTGATCTAAAAATGATGAATTTTGCATTGATTAGTGGTTTAAGATATCAAGAGCAAAGGACAGAATTCACTTGACTCTTGTCAAACCAAAACATAAATCCTGAGATGAGGGTGTTCACTATAGCCAAGCCAGTGAATGTATAGATAAGGATGGGACGACGCCCAACACCTTCGGCTAATCGTCCGGAACTCAATGCTCCTATCTGCAACATCTTTTGTTGCAAAAATTGAATAAGATTTGAGAGAGTTCAAGTGAAATCAGTTGCTAAAACTTACCACAGCCATGATACAGATGACCATGTTGCCAAGAGAGGCTTGTAATGTATTAAGGCCCACATTTATAAGGATTTCAAAGGCAAAGGCATTAACAGCTAGAAAGAACTACTTCAGTGGTTTATTATGAGCGTAAGCAGATTTATCTAATTGAGATCGGAGTAGTGATTTTCAGTATGAAGGATCAAAATTTTGATTCTAGGTCTTGAAAAAAATAATCACTTCCTTTCTTTTTCATAAAATAGAAACATTTAAATGAAATAACCCTTTTCTTAATCTTCTTTTTATGCCAGTGCTTCAGCTCTCGGAAAGCTCGCAATGAACATTCTCGGAATGACAAACTCACTTTTTCAACACTACTCCTACCTATCTTACCTATTCCAAACAGCTATCATGTGCATCTCTGCTAGAAGTATTGAAGTTCTGATCTTACCTCTGGAGGCGTTCATGAAAGGCTATTTCTGGTGAGTAGAGCCCATCCATAGAAACACGAAATAAACAACCGACTCACTATGTTTTCACAAAAATGCTCATGTTTACTCA